AGTTTTTTCACAATTCTTTACAGGTCACCAACATTCAGGCGACTGAACGAGGAGCAATGGCCAGCCATTACTACGATGCAGTACACATCTATCTATCAATCAAAAAGCATGAAGAATATATCTACATGCACACCAATTCAAGTAAACACGCATCACGCATCACGCTTCATGCAATTAAACTATTTCAAGTAAACAGCCATCACACATCACTCATACATGCAAACGATTTAAATCAAAAAGGCATCGCACATCACGCGTCAGGCATCACCCACATACAAACGGTTCTAAGCTGGCACGCATCACACATCAAGGCACTTATCACATTCAGTCAAAGTGTATAATAAATCACATTATCATAAATATACTAGATAATATAGTAAGAAATACATACAATATGTAATAGATAATGTTGCAACTCGCATTCATATAATCAAGCACATAATGTTTTGATGTGTGGTGCGTGCTAGCTAAAGATTATGCTAGGAATAAGGCTATCAGTGTTGCCTTACCAAAACTGGACGCCGTCACATCTGATTATTGCCTACCACCTGACGTGTGTGTGCGATCTGTAGCGGATCAAAGATGCCTCGTATCCCAATGTGGTAGTCTGTTAATGAGGGGTAAAAGCACGGTTTCTTGACTCGGGTGCACAATTAGCATATGTTAGACAAATGTCCCTGCAATCTTGTCCAGGTTGGCTCAGCATGTCTGCACGCGCATTGACAGCATGTCTGCATAATTACATTTCCTTCAAAAATACACACAGCACATGTCAAAGTTGCATGCATCCGTTATGACTCCAATTATATGTCACTCGAGACCCGAAAGAAACCACACTATGACATCACGGTAATATCCTGCCAGAAGCATGTGTCCTTGACATTTGGATGATTTGAAGGACCAGCCTTAGTCTTTTCTTACACATACAAAGGCATCAGCGATGCGTTGCCTGCATAATACACATGCGCGAGGCTATTACATTGTCATGAGACAGACTTCATTAAGACCTCCCAAATGCTGCCTCATGGCGTGGTCCAGGAAAGCGCTTGTTAGTTTGTTGAATCATTCCTGAAGGCTGGCAGTAATCAAGACAGGCAGCCGCCTGTTGGGAACATGGCGTCGTACCGCAGACGGAGAGAGCGTCTGAAAGGTCAGGGCTGACGTGTTTTCACTTGCAGGTGTGTGAGTTCCTGCGCTGATCCCGTCCGCCATTCTGGAATTAAACGGCTGTCACACCCACGCCCAAATGCATCAATTAAGTTACCGCTTCGGTCCGACGAGCGAGCCATCCAACACCCACAGCCAGAGTAAAGCGATGAAGTCTCCCGATAAATCTATAACACCTTGATACAAGCTGAGGGATTTGTGCGGACAACAACGGCCGGTTGGGTGGAGTTGGCGTATGCAAACACGCGTTAAATGGCTGCTTGGCTGGGTTGTTATGACCGGCTTGGGAACAGCATGTAGCCGTCGCCGCTCCTCCGGCCCCGGAAACGGCTCATTAAGCCAGCGCGCATGTTACCAATGTCCACGGTAACACCACTGTATAGCTAGACAGCGCACGGTGAACGGAAAAGTTCCAAATGCATTCCGGATGGAGGGAAGCGTCGATCGGACCCTCGATTGGATCGCTGAGGGCGATCCAATTACTATGCTGGCCTTTGAGCGCCTTCCAGTCCAGTAGCCAACCCTCCAGCATAAAAGCCGGAGACTGCTGCCGCTTTCATCATAACTCACCAAGCCACTTATTTGCGAACAAAAGGCCATGAGACATGCCGGTATCACGGGTCGCACACTTGACCTCCACCTCTGTTGCTCTGTGAGCACCCACGGCCTCCGAGGCGGGGGCGACCGCAGACCGCGCCCCGTGCTGGCTCGCGGCGTTTACACTGAGCCGGCGAACGTCGAGAGCCCGAAGCTCGGCGCAGCTATAAGCACGTGCGGTGGCGTTTGTGTGCTGCTGCAGCAGACGCAGGGGCGTCTAAACTTGATAGCGATCGAGAGGGAGCCAGGGCATCAGGCCAGGGCACTCCTGGGAATCACAATGGATGCGATGCCCGCAGATGCCTATGGTGAAGCCCCTGGGCTGTGGCACTGGGCTTGATGTGAAGGACATCCATGACATTGGGTTGTGGTGTGGCGAGTTACGTCAGCGTATTGGCAGATGAGAGAATCCAACGATACTACAACGGTTTAAGGGAGAGCAGCCAACACAAATCAAGACCAACAGACAGCATGCATATATAGCCAGGTACTGAGTTTCCACTGGTCGGGAGATTTACCGCAACCAGCGATTAAACGCCGTCAGCAATGTGGCATTGAGGCATTTGCCTCCCTCCTGTAATGACTGAAGCCATCTTTGGGTCAAAGCTGACCTCAAAATGAAGGTCCGTGGTAGCTCTCACAGGCTGATTACCTCATGATATCTCCTCTGCATTCGCAATGTTACCATTTATGCATGTGATTAGAACTCCCTGTTTGCGCGTTAGTTCAGCGCGTTGCAAGTTAGTTCGGGAGCTAAGTTACCTCTTATATTGGTTAAAATAAAATGCCTGAACGTACCATAAACAGTATTATCGCTTAACTTAGGAAAAGCCAGAAGAAGTCTGTGAGTCGAAGTCATCGACGAATAAGACTACACTATCATAATATTAAGTGCATATACCGTACGGAGTACTTTTATTCACTACCATACCAATCGAGGAAAATCAGTCGAGCTCATGAGGCACTTCAATAAAGCCCAACCTCTTAAGATACTTTTGTTCAGTAAAATTTCCTTACTGAACTAAGACGTGCAACGCAATCAGCTTTCACGTGCTATATTAACCTTGTAAGTGTTTGCCTTCAAGACGCAAATTTTGATATAAAAACATTTTTCTTGGCATTTCAACTTGTGATTAAGCTTTAATGTATTTGTATAATGTTTTAAAATTGCACTCAGGCAGCTCCTGCTGGTCTCCACATTCCTTACAACGAAAGCGGTTTTGCTGGTTAGTTCATCATCAAAAATTGAAAATGGAATTGGATGTGTACATTTTGCACGTGAACAAAAGCCTGCATTCAGTTGAAGTTACCTCATTTTAACAAATTTAGCATTTTAGTTATTCAGCGTTTATGTAAGCGATCACAGGACAGCATATCGAATTCACGACAATAACAGGCGGCATCCAACCTAAAAGCATAAGTTCGCCGAGCACAGTGGCCATGAGGACCATGATTTGAAGGGCCGCTCTGTGCATGGGTACGTGAGGTGGCGCGGGGGCGACGGAGGTCATAGTCCAACCAGTAGTGTGCTTTTAGTGATACTCGTATTGCTGATGTGACTCATGGCTGGCCGTTGTGTGGTGCAGTATTTGGCAAGGCTGCGTGTAAGGCAAGGTTGACCAAAAAGCGCAAACTCTTACACTTTTGTTTAAAACATTTTGGGGCTGTTTTGACAGCACCTAGAAAATTTTGTCCAGCAAATGCGGGCATCAGCAGTGCTAACATCCAATGCAAAATGAAACTCAAACCCGTCGCACACGGCACCACAAAACTGAGCATCCTGGTAAGCGGGTAACGTTATCATGGCCATATGTTTCGACGTAGATAGCCTTTCCATGGTTTATTGTTGGTGCAAGTAACTTCGCAAATAGTCTAAAACAAAATATTAGTACAACATGGGAGCCGTTTTGCACACTTACTTCAATATGTTGATTATCCATAGCGTCCACGTGAGCCTAGATCATCATCAACATCGTCAAGAGAGCTTCAACATCTCCACGGTTGATTGCTGGCGTTCGTATAGCTGAGGTCAACGTTGCGTGTGCTGGATAATTTGTAGACACACCAAGCAAACACAGCGCGGAGACTAGATTAGAACGTCATTGCTACAAGCCATCAGCTTCGTCTGGTGTTTGGACGATTTTTGAAGCATTATTAATATGTTTACCGTTTCCAATTGTCCATCAATGAAAGCTTGCTGCATGCCATGGTTCGACAATGGGTGGGCACGGCGATGCCGGGATGTTTTCGCACCACACAAACTCATCGCGGGATTGTTGTTCATTTGTCCATCCCGGTGGCTCAGTTGGTTAGAGCGCCTGCCTTCCGATCTACCCACCCGTGGCGGGGTGGGTT